TTAATCTATTCATGGAAGTAATTTTAAAAGTCTACTATTCTCCTTAATGTAGATAACATTCATAATTTATAAAGTGTTGTGATGCCGAATTGACAATGCCATTGTTTTTTCCACTCTGAGATGATTCTGCAGCCTTCATTATCTGCATACCAACCTCAGGATTATCAAGGGCAAACAAAAGATAATTAACACCAGAAATAGGCAAATGCAGGAGCTACTGCCTAAGGTTTTTCATTTAATGCAATACCTCAGAAAACATGGAAAGGGAGTAACTGTTAAAATCCATTTCTTCCAATGCAGAAAACACTTTTTAGGCATATTTAAGTCTGTAGATTTAAAATGATATTTTGCTTCTAAAAACTATTTCTCAGAAGACTAATTGCCATAATCCCCACTTACCACCTTCATTGGGTGCATAGATAAAAGGAAAGTATTATTCAAAATAACAAATGCCAGTGCTTTACACTGGACTATTGTTTATAGTAGCAGCCTCATAGGACACCTGTGTTGTATTTACACACTTGCCACCTGAACCTAACTTTGTTTCTTCATGCCTCATTTACAATGAAGTACCACTAGCAGTACCACATTTACCATGAAAGCTTCCAATACCACTTATATTTTAGAGACAAGGTTTCAGCAGGTAAGGAGCAGTAAATGCAGTATAAAAGAGAAACAGCCTTAAAGCTTTTATAACTATATCATTTTATCATCTATCATCATGGAGAGATGCAAAAAACAGTAGATGTGCAGAATTCAAATCTGTATATTAGTAATACATTTGAGGAGAAATAAGTAAGAAAACAGGATACATCTTTGGATTGGAACCTAGTAAACCTATGTAGTAGTAAAGAGTTCTAAAAAAACCTGAACAATTTGAAGCAGAAAAACTTCAACTTTTTACTGATCACTACTGCAACTGACTTGTCTTGCTTGCCCAATTCCTTGTTGTACTATTTTGGTCACTTTTGCTTTCTCTGTCTTGTACTATACTACACGGCTTGTGATATCCCTGCTGGGCCCACTTAATTCAGCACTAGGACAGCACTAAACTTGGTTTCTCTGATAACTCCATTATTGCCAGCTCACTGAACTATGCAGTAGGTTCTCTGTGACATAGGTTTGATATTGTTGTGGTGGATTCTGTTTAATGGGGAGCAGATATGAAGGTGCTGGTGGAATCTTCCAAGCCCACTGATTATTGTTCTTCCATGCTTGTCATTTATAGTACTACATTACGGGGCAGAGAATAGTTCCCAAAACAGCTACTTCCAGCCTCATAGTGCAATACTGCAGGCAGTGAGCATGGAACATAAAGCATTACACCTAATCTGACTGGCAGGCAGCCCCACTATTATTGTATTTATTCTCCATTAAACAGAGTGCACCACAATATCTATTCTCTTGTCATGTCTCCACTAGAAGACTTGTTTTCTGATGAGGAAAGACGTATGTCTGGCCCAGGACTTCAGTTCAGCAGACAGGGAAGATCTGTCTTTGGATCAGGAAGCTTCTCCAGTGGAGAAATTAGGACATAGTCAGACATTGGCAGGAGCCAGGCCCCTCCCAACAGAACCTTAATAGTCTGTCTCCGCAGCAAGGCAGCTTGCTGTCAAAACCAGAGGAGGAATCACCTCTCAGCCCTCAAGAGAGATACCACCATAAGAGGAAGATGCAAACACTCCTTTGGAGGATGAGTGCTTGACAGCAAGCTAAGACCATAGATGAGAGAAAGAGCTCTGCACTGGAGCAGAGTGTTATCAGCAACTGTGAGGGTAAATGTGTGGTTCAGCTGAGCCTGGCTTTGTCGGACAACTGACACTAGAAAACAACTTTTTGAAACCTGTGACTGTGACATATGGACCTCTTGAAATCCTGGAATCCTACTTACTTACTATACTACTATGCTTTTTCCCTTTTTTGCTACTAGGACAGATGAATGTACTGATATCAGCCCATCCATGGTAATATCTTCTTTTCTTATCTTACCTTGTAATGTTCTACTTCCTAGTAACTGACCTCATACTATTGCTCTTTACTATCATCCTCTAAACCAAGATATAGCCATATATTTAGGAAGCCAGATTCTTCCGCTATTCCAAAAAGTTCATTTCACTTTCCAGATAATTCATGTCCCACTAAAAATTCTCCCAGAGAATGAGGACAAGCTTCTTGAAGAACACCACTTATTCTTTTGATCATTATCTATCCTGGTTATTGAAACCAGATGGCGATAGGGGCTTCCAATCTTGTGATGCTTCCCAGAGGAAGAGCAGTATTCACTGTTTTAAGGCCTGACCCTTTGTTTAAAAATACCTTAAATCCCATAAATTCACTTACCATTCTTCATCAACATGCTAGAGACAGTTTGGAATACATGGTTTGGATCTGTTCCAGTCTGTTTTCAGGCCTGGTTTTTAGACAGAAACTTTGATCAGCCTGGTGGATGACTTACACTGGAGTATGGATGTATAACCTGTCGGTTTTTCTGGAGCTCTCAAAGACTTTGGATGCTATCTATTATGGCATTCTTCTGGATCACCTTGCTGCGATGGGTCAGAGTGGTACAGTGACTCCAGTCCTTTCTAAAGCAACTGTATCGGAAGGTGATGATAGAGGACTTCTGGTCTAGCTCATGATTATTAACTTATTAATACCATTTCCTCATGCTGTTTGACATCTACATGAAATTGCTGGGAGACATAATCCAGAGATATGAATGTTATCAGTGTGTGGATGACAAAGAGCTCTACCCCTCCTGTCTATCTGCTGATTCCAAGGAAGTTATGATACACTTGAATGGTGTGGACATGGCATCAGATACATGATAGCAAACAGCTGAAGCTTAATTCAGAGAAGACAGTAAGGAAATTGTCTGATCCCAGTGGAGGGTTGCAACCAGCCCTGGATGAAATTACAAGACTTCTCTTCCCTCTGTTCACAGTTTGGAGATTTTCCTAGACTTGGCACCATCTGTGGAAGCACAGGTGGCACGTACTTTTTATTATCAACATTGAAAGCAGAATATGAAGTCACTATTTGTCAGCCTCAGTGTCTTGGAAGTCATAATAATGGGCAATGTCCAACTGTATCATTACAGAAACTCAAATCAGTGAGGTCTGCTGAATCCATTATGCAAGCTCTTGACTATTAGGCTGCGCAAGCACACTCTTGTCAGATTCCTCGCTTGCACATAGTTTGGAATCTAATCTCTGTTAGTGCAGCTAAAAGAATAACAGGGTTGGATGCTGCCCATTTTCTCACAGGTCAAGTTGCTGGCAAAATTAGAAAATATTGTGTAAATGGTTGTATTATAGCTAGGAACCATAATTTAAAGCAATCCTATATAAGGTTTGCAGAGTTCTAAAAAGGATTTGCAAATCTTTGCATTCCACAGTTAATAACGGAAAGGTTTGTACTCACTATCTTCCAAATTTTGCCAAATCATTTTTAGTTTTAATCTACCTACTGGATTCAAATTAGAGTTGCCAACTTGCAAGAAAAAATGCAGCTAGACCTTTAACAGCAGCTGTTAAAATCAGGCAGGGGCAGATGTAAAAGTCAGAAGGGGCAGTTTTCACAGCCAAGGTAAGCATTATCTTTTGCTGATTCTGCAGATCAAATAGCTGCTAAAGACACTGGAGCAGAGGGCTGGCAACTCTAATTTGAATGCAGATAGGTGCACAGCCAAGGACAAGCCTTAACTGTCACAGGGATACAATCTTCTGCTCAAATATTATGCATGTACTTACACAACCATCCTTCAATTGTCCACTGCTACAATCAGTCAGTGTCACTAAAAGTTTGTTTCAAAATAAATCACATTTAGCCCTATGCTCAGAAAGTCTCTTGGTAGTATCAGAAATCCATAAACAAGGAATGTCTTTTGCCTTTGAATCAGTGCCCTTTGGTCACCACGTCAGACCCTCACAAGCCTCTTTTTTCTTGTAAACGGTTAGTCTAGAACCACAAACAGAGGTCAGGCGATAGCAACACTAGCTCCATTTTGCACTGGAGGCTAAGATTTGCTTTTTCACAGCAGACCAATTCTGTGCATGGTTACTCAGAAGAAACTCAGTAACTCAGAAGTGTTCAATCGGACTTCATTGTCTGTAGGATTGCATCCCAAATCTGCCAGTTAATCAAGCTGGCTATATGCATAGTCATGATCTCTAACTTGCATGTATCAAAATACAAGCTAAAGGACAGTATTACAGCACTTAAGAAACAGCAGCAGTGCATCCATAATTTGATTGATCTAGAATTTGATTTGCAGGGTAACTTTATTTACTCCTCCTTTGGATTCTCAAGGATTTTCACTACTCTCTCAGATGTATTTTTCCCACAAAAGAAGCCCAGATCTGTCCACTGGGGCTCAAAGCAAGTCCCATGATTCTTGGAATATCATGTTACAAGCATAACATGCTATGAAGAAACAGCATATATATAAGATACACTTAATATGCCATGTCTATTACACTATTTTGTGGTGTTTACCTCTGAGAGGCAATAATATACCTGAATAGTCCTTGCATTGTTACTTTCAATGGCTTGTGTAGCAGTTGTTTAGTGATATTCTGAGGGTGAGAGAGAGAAACACTTGTAATAGATGGGAACTGGATCACAAATTGGCCAAGGATGTTACATAGGTGGAAAAGGGCAGTTGGGGAATGACAATTGATAGATAGTGGTTGAGAAAACCTCTTGGTGGCCAGTGGCGAAGAAGGTCTTCTGGTTAGTGGATGGTGTTATAGAAGGACAATGAGCAACTGGAACAAAACATGAATAGCTAAGATCCATAACAGCAGAACCATGAAGATGAGGCACAGGCTACAAGCAGTTATGCCCGGAATCTGATAGAAAAATATTTCACAATCAGGCAGTAAAACCATACACACATATGCACACACATACACACAGAGTGTTCAGGCCAATCAAAATGCATCAGCAGAAGTTTTCCCAATCAGAGGAAGGCTATACTTTGTTGTGAATGAATTTAGCTAAGATGGAGACTTAGGGAAATTGGCCTCCGGTAAAAGAATTAATTAAGAGGCTTGAAATAGCACTAGTGTTTCTTGAATCCTGAAGAACTGTAAATAAGCAGCATTTGCAAAAGGAAAAAAATGGAAAAAATAGTATTCATTTTTATAGAAAATATCCCTAAAATAAATGATAAGAGCACCCATATACCCAAAACAATGTATTGTGGATCATAAGATCTTTCAGATTCCTATCTCTGAGATTGGAAAAGAGCTCTGACCTCAGTGTGGGATTCTCAGCTCTTCCCACATTTCACAGGATGCCCTTGGAGGTTTATGGACATCCATGCTAGCTTGCATCTAACGTTTAACAGGCCTTCTTGTCTGAGATGCTATTTCCCATCTCAGGTCTAAGCTTCTTATAACAAGGTAGATAGGAGGGTTTGAATATACTTGGAAAATTGGTGGCAACAGAGAAGGGTCAGTTTGCTGAACTCAAAGCTAGAGTGGCAGAGAGTTCCTCAGGCTTGGAGATATAAGCATTTCATATAAATAAGAAACCTCATAGATGGAGATTTCCAAGAGCAGGAACAATTTTGCTACAGGTGGTATGATTGCTAGAGAAAGAAAATCTCCTAACTATGGTATCTGAATTCATGGATAGATTTACCATAGCATCAGATGAGTAAGAGGCATAACAGTCCCAGCCTTACCATTGGGCAGAGTGAGGCAAGTGCAAGAAGGCGGAGAGTAATGGCATGTCATGGAGGACAGAGACAGGTGTGCCAGGAAGCAAGCCAGCTGTCCTCAGGTGGGCACTGTCCCATGTCCAGTGCTGAAGAAAAATTCAACTGCCACTTGGGTGAGCTTCTGTATACAGGAAGGGAACAGATGGTCTCCTGTCCCCTATCTCATGACCGGCCCTCATGTTTAATGAACTCTGCCTGAGATGTTTCTGAAGACATCCTTTAGAAAAGGTTGTGAATACAATGAATTAGATTTCTGTGAACTGGATTTACTGAGCTGGATTAAGTGAATCCAGGTGACTGCCTAGCATGTTCAATACAGCAGCCTTTCCACACCTTTGCTTTATCATTATTTTATTTAAAAGCTATTAAAATTGCAAACTACAGGACATAGTGCATGCCAACCTGTTACCTAATTAAAATATATTGTTGCAGAATTACTCCAGATGGTTGTGTCAGTTTTAAAAGTTTGAAATTTATAGCTGCAATGCACTTTAGTGAATATTATGGCTAGTGCCATGCCCCAGGGTTTCTCAGCAATATTAATCTATTTATTTATTGACAGTTGTTCCTTGCTTTCTACTCAATGAGTACCAAGGAGGTTTATACAGGCACAATGTAATATGGAACTAAAATAAACAGAATCAGACATGGCAAGTAGGAGCAGCATTAATATCCCATTGTGAACATTGAAAACCTGATAAAATAAATTAACACAATTTAACACAATTTATAATGTGGTTATGCTTCATATTTTGCCAGCTCCTAAACTATATTGGACTGATTCAGACAAATCCAGATGTCAGAACAGAAGCATTCTTCTTCCAAAGCAGCAAATCTAAATCTGAACCCCTCTGAAGACTTATTAGAAATTCAGATCCAGAGGAACAGAAAGACATGGGCAATAACTGACTTCTTGTGTTTACAGAAGAGGGAATAAGCCAGGGTGACATATTTTTCTGCTGCCTGTTTGCAGGAGGATTTATATAATTGAACCCAGCACGGGTGGCTTGCTGCTGTGGTTAAAAAGCTGCCCATGGGCTGTTTAGAAGTCTGGGGTGGCTTGTTAAACCTGGTAGCAAGCCACGTTCACCAAGTTTACTGGCAAGGATAATTAGGCAAATATTCCCTAGTTATGCAACCAACATGTGCCCAGCATACAGTGCAGGAGAGATAAGCCATGGGGACTTATTTTGCCCTCTATGCTTGTGCAAACAGGCACAATGTGTCTAGAAAATTAATACATGACTTTCCAAGCTCTCCATATAAGAAAAACAGGATATGGAGAGACGAAAGGAAGACATGCAGTTTTGTGTCAGGTAACTTTAATTTCTAATCACAAGGGTTCTACAATTCCAGTGGCTTGAGGCAGTATCTTGAAGTTGTACATCATGGAATTGTTCCTGCATTCATGTGATATTTGCAATTCTCTCTCCTTGGAACAAGACATTAAAAGAAGTTAGGTGGGATGGGGTCTAGGAAAGGGAAGAATTGGGTACTTGCATGAAAAATGCTGGATACCCAAGGTCTTCTGTCTCTGTCCCTGTGGGTTCCATTCTCCTACCCCATGGAATTTCTGTGACAAAAGAAAAGGGCTTAAACTGCTGGTCATTCATCATAATTTCCTAGCCACTGCACCCATCCTAAAATTTTGTTGATTTCTCCAGCCTTCCCCAACTTGATCCTCTTTAGTTGTTCACTTCTTATCAGTTGATCATCCAGAACTCTTGAGAATTATAGGCCAAAACATTTGAAAGGCAACAGGAAAGCTTGAATGCCACCACCCAAAATCAAACTAACAACTGCCCATTCTTTCATAGAAACTGAACTACAAACCATTTAGTCCACTGAGCACCTCACATTCTAATGCATCATTCCTGGCCAATCACTGCCTTGTACACAGGCGCAATGTAACACAGCTTTTGGTGCAAAGGTCCACATGGGCTACACAAATAAAAGATACAGGACAAATGTACAGATACATGATAAAGAATTTTTGCTCCTAAATACTTAACGTGATATAATTTAAAGAAAAATTAGAATAAGGAATCCAATGGGGCTGCTGCATTCCAGCTGCCTGTGCTGCACAAGCAAGAGCGACTGCTTGCACAACAGGGATTTAGCATTTCATAAAGTAAACTCACAAACAAGTGGAACTGCTCATTTCTGGATTGGGACAAGTCAGCTCAGCTCAATTTTGCAAGCTCCAGGAAAATCCCAAGAGCACAAGCAGTCACTCCTGGTGTTGCATGAGCATAAAGGATACTACCCCGTGTATTCTAAGTTTCACTGGCATTATGAGTCCCTTATTTTCCAGTTTCACAAGAGCAATTTTGCAGTATCTTGCACTTCTTTAACGTGTCTGCAGTATTCATGTTTTCATTTGAAATCTCACTGTAGACTAGGATTTGCAGAGATTTGTATTAAATAAAAGGGAATACTTAATACTGAGCTATCACAGTGAGCCAAAATAACCTGTGTGCTTCATATGTGAATATTTTAAAGCAACTCTTACCTTTACAATATATCTCACATATTAATGTTATGGACTCAGATTTTCCATTTATTTATTTTATCAAGAGCTTTTTCGGTCTTTATACACATATTTTTTCCAAGAATCAGTCAATAGCAGATTTTTCAAGCACCTTGCAAAATCCAAATCTTGGGACTAGATCTTATCAACACATATTCATATAAAATATGTATAAGCAATAAGGTGTTATCAAATTAATACGAGAGATAGACAGAAATGGATCATCTGAACAGCACTATTTTAATACAAGGCTGTTAAAAACAAATCTGTTTATATTGTTCAGAAGAGAAATAGTGCCTCTTTGCCAAAACCATATTGCCAAGTAGATTTCTCTTCTGCCTCTTAATTTGTCTTCACTAGTAACTCCTATATACATTCTTCAATTCCTTTTCCCATCCAACATCAGTGCTATGGGAAATGAAGTGGGAGGCAGCTAAATGTACTAAGGTTGGTCCCTTACAGGAAGATTAGCTTCTGGTGACATCTAGTTATATGTCCTTAAGTTGGAGGGAGGCAACCTATGGCCCTGGGCCTGCATGCATCCCTTGGACTAACTTCAAAGTCCCTTTGCAAGCAATAACTTCAGACCTCTGGAAAGAGCAATCAGTCAAGGGCACTTTTTGAATAATCCGAAGAGAGAAAACAGGTTGGACTGCCTACTTTCAGTTCTGGCCATTGCTGTCATGTCACCCCAGACATACATTCCAAGGCAAAGCAGACTATGACAGAAAAATGGTGACACACCCTGGCTTTATTTTTATTTTTCTATTGTTGGCTTTTCTTCAATGTTATCTGATTATCTATTCCAATTTTCTCTGTTGCATACAGTATCCTATTTAGGTTATAATGCAGAGGTGGTAGCAGCCACATGTATTGTAATCCAGCGGTCCCTAACCTTTTTGGCACCAGGGACTGGTTTCGTGAACACATTTTTTTCATGGACTGGGGCGGGGAAGGGATGATTTCAGGATGATTCAGGCACATGACATTTATTGTGTGCTTTATTTCTATTATTATTACACTGCAAGAAATAATGAAATAATTATGCAACTCATCACAATGCAGAGTCAGTGGGAGCCTCCCCCCGACCTGCAGCCCTGCCCTTACCTGCTTCCCGGTTCCCTCGCTGCTTGCACACGCCCTCCCCAGCTTCTCTGCAACACTTGCTGCCCAAATTTGCTGATGCCACGGCTGCCACTCCTTCCTCCTTTCAAGGCGCAGGAGCCAAAAGGGCCCTAATGATAATCTGTATTTGCAGCTGCTCCCCAGCAGTGAGGCTAATGTCGGGGAGCAGCTGCAAATACAGATGAAGTGCAGCCCTGTTGGGGGCCCCTCCTGTAACCTATAGATTATTTATATAAATAAATAAAGTAATGTAATCTAACCAGCCAAAAGAGTTACTTATAGAGGCAAGGTGGATTCTTGGAGAAGCCTAATTTAAGTAAGGGCTAAAAAGATAAAGGTTTCCCCTTGATGTTAAGTCCAGTCATGCCTGACTCTAGAGGGCGGTGCTCATCTCCATTTCCTAGCCGAGGGAGCCAGCGTTTGTCTGCAGGGAGTCTCCATGGTCATGTGGCCGGCATGACTAAACACCAAAGTGCACGGAATACTGTTACCTTCCCACCAAAGTGGTACCTTTTTATCTACTTGCATTTGCATGCTTTTGAACTGCAAGGTTGGGAGGAGCTGGGACAGAGCAACAGGAACTCATCTCGTTGTGCAGATTTGAACCGGCGACCTTTCAATCAACCAG